AAAAAAAAAAAAAAAAAAAAAAAAAAAAAAAAAAAAAAAAAATCAAGTTGTAAGCCATTATAATTATAAGATGGCTTTCATAAAAACATCGGTATTCACGTTCGCCTATTCCCTATCCACACCATCTCACCATCCATGCCATTCCTTATCTTTTGATCGGGATCATTTGCGGTCCAATATGGGGATCATTTCCGGTCCGGGATCATTTGCGGTTCAATTTAGGGATCATTTGCGGTCCGGGATCATTTGCGGTCCTGGGATCATTTGCGGACCCGTACAAGTCACCCGGGAGTGCGCCATCTTTAGTTTTACAGATTGTAAATGTTTCAAATGAAACTTCAAGTTGACATCGGATTCTCATTTATTGCTTTCACCCTTCTTCAAATTCGAGTAAAGGTCTAGCCCGCTCCAGGCTACCGCGTATATCGGTCAGTGGGAACGAAAAAAAAGCAGACGAGTGAAAGCAAACGAGCTTTTAAGAGTGTCTAGACGAATGAGGTGCTGGAATTTAAATTCAAATTTTCGGCGATTTCTCAGCCATCAGTTAAAATTTTAGCCCATTTCTCAGCCGAGGGTAAAATTTGCAGATCTCGCTCTCAGAAACACATCTCAGATATAAGACACACAGTGCTGTGTGAATCACAAATCTGCCCTCGGAGTTGAACAATTTATTCACTCACCCTCCCCTCCCCTCCACACTACTCCTACCCGCCAGAGACCCTGGGAACGAGGTTGCTGTTGCTAGACTTGGGATATGACAAGATGGCGGCATGGATTTTAGTGTTCATTTGTTTTGACTGCCTTTATTTGAAGAGTTTTGCGGAAGAGATGTGATCGATCCTTTACAAAAATGGTAGGTTTATCTAATGAACTGCCTAAATAATATAGCCATATTCTTCCGTTTCTTTTCATTGTATAGGTTTGTACCAAATTTTAAAGCAACTTCAGTAAGCTGTCTTCGATCGCTGTGAATTTGAGTCGAACATTTTTGACAGAAGTGAAAGTATTGATCAATAATTAAACGACCTACTATTTGATCAAGGAACTTGTTTATTCTAGATGTTAAATTATCATTATTCTAAGGTTAAAACCACTTTCCAATAATGTAATAGGCGAATTTTAATTCCTGTTTCGATTTTCGATTTTGGCGCGTCGTTTTCGCTGATCCGCCTGATGTACTGTTTAAACCGTCAGAAACATGCATGAGCAGTGAACACAACCAGGAAGTGATCTTAAAAAACGAATCGAAAACTTCCGAGTAAACAAATCGGGAAGAAATGAACATTCATACGTGTTAGCTTAGACAAGCAGGTTTTTTAGATTGTACACTTCAATCGTGATCTGAACTGCTCTCGATCAGTATGAAAGAAACACGAAGCAATTAATTTAATACGTACCAAATATTTGCCCGGAAGTGATTACAGAGTAAATGGCGACTGTGGTCGACCTCAAATTCATCTGGTCTTACAGTGTAGCTTTCTCACTAGCTTTGGTGTTATCTCCTGTTGTAGATCAATAGTTACTAATATAGAAAACGATCTACCTATCACAATATTTGGCGATTTTCACACACATGCAATCGAATCAAGGTTACGTGCAAGGCGGCACGTGATATCCGTAAAAATATCATTTGTGTAAAAATATAGCGAGCTTGATTCTACTTGTATTCGTGATCTAATGCTTTGCAGCAGATACCCAATCACGAAATTCTTATCTCTTATGCTTTTGATATTTCAGTTTCTTCATGGGTCGTGCACTTATCACGATTAGCTCTCATTATCTCTGATTACTACTAGTAATATTTCAGTTTCTTCATGGGTCGTGCACTTATCACGATTAGCTCAAACGGACGAGATCGATTTGGATGATCCAAAACATTAAATGTACATGTTAACCAATAATTTGGCTTTTATTTCTGTATGAGATGAAATTAAAATCTTGTCTTGCCATGGCCTGTCTGATTAAGCTTATATTTCTTCAAAATTAAGCAACAACTTAGCTCAAGTTACAAAAGCACGGACTTTGTTATTTAGTCTCCCATACTTCTCATTTGCGTCTTACATAAAAATAATAGTTCCAAGCAAAAGACAAGAAACAGTACTGACAAAAATACAATTAATTTGTGAACAAAGATTGAACAATGCTAATATGACATGCTGCAAATTATATGCATGATTTCCTTTTGAAGAAAAAATAAATCCTTAAAACAATAGATGAATTTGATCTTCATCTGTCAGTTTGACTTACATGAGGATATTATATATATTTAACGGGGTAAGATAAGATATTGACCTCTCATTGGGAATTAAGAGCTAAAATTACCCACCCTCTTGACTAATGACTTCTTGCCTGTCTGTAATTGTAAGCCTTTCCCTCAATGCTTTCTTCCTCTATTTATGATAAATAAAGCAGAGAAATGCATTGGCATGGTTGATTTTCATTGTTGATGAATTACAGTAGCTTGTGATCATCTCAACACATCAACTGAATAATATTGTACTGTTTTCTTTGTTTTTTTTTTTTTGTGTGTGTGTGTGGGTGTGTAGGTCTTCCATATATGAAGGTATGTGAGATGCAATGGATCGCAGTTCAGCTGAAAAGTATCACCTGATAGCTCAACAAAGAGCTGAGCAGTTTAAGATAGCTAGACGAGAGTCCCGCTGTACACGGGCAAGGAGCCAAGATGGGCAACCTGTGGCATATGGGAAAGTGAAGGAAAGGGCAAATATTACTAGACAGTCCCGTGCGATGTCAGATCCTGAAATACCTGGCACCCTTGTGATATTGAACGCTAAAGGTTTGTTTCAAGGAAAGAATGGAAACTTGAATAGACGGAGCAGTCTAGAAAGCAGCGCAGCTTCTGTTGACATTATGGATATGGACATCAATAGACCTCTGTTCTTTGATCCATCCCTCAAGAGTAAGGAAGCAAAAGTCAGTGATTTAAAGAAGAAATTTGAGGCTGTACAAAGTGATATTGCTGGAGACAAACGTGGAATAACTGAGAGTGATTTCTTGAATCCACTTCACAAGGTAAACCAAGACTTGGCTTATTCAAATGAAACCTCAAAGAAAACAGTGAAGAAAAAGCTTGAAGAAGCACTAAATAATAATGTCCCAGCAACACTATCGACTTCAGCTTTGAAGGTGAATGAACTGCAAACTCACAGTATAACTGCGAAAGAATCAGAAGCGAAGACTGAAATGCCTACAAGACCTCCTCCGAGGGCTTTCACACGAGATCCTCTCAAACGGCTTAGGGGTGAGTCAGACCCTATGCCGCTTGATGAAAATAGATTATCCAGAGTGCATGCTTTCCCCCAGGAGAGCTTAAGGGAAGAAGTTCAGGAAGAAAGTTCACCACAACTTGTTTCAGAAACTGAAATAGCTGTCAGTGCAGATGGTTGTAATAGCACTGAAAATGATGATGACGATGATGATTTCGACACCGATGAGTGGGACAGTGATTTTGATGATGATGAAGAGGAGGATGAGCAGCAAAAACGTGACTCTCAGTCAAGCCATGGCAGTTCTTGTGATGCTGAGCCTCTTGTAAGTAACAATAATTTCAGTTTCACTCTTAACTTCCTAATAGTTACAAGAAAGAATAGAACTTAAAATTCACTGCATGAATTGAAGCACTGCTCAATAGCTTTCATTTGAATAGTCACATATTAGGATTCCATCGACACATATTCAAAAATTAACTAGAAGCAGATGTGAAAAGGCATCTTATTTCATTATACATGTATTTTGCTCAAAGTTCAAGAATATGAAAGTGAAAGAGTTTATAAGTCAATTATTAAAAGGTTACATTGGTTTTCAAACATTGACCTTCTAGACAGTACAGTTAAATTTGTACAAGGATCGTTTTACATGTACGAACTGTCTTTTTGAAGAGAGTTTGAAAAGAGATTGGAATTAGAAATAACACAAATTAAGTAATATTTACTGCAATGGCTGATAGTGATCATGAACGAATAACTGCAAATTAATATTGATCTCATGTGACCTAATTAGCACCCTCTGGTATCAATTTTACAAAAATGTTATTTGCACTTCTGTGAGAAATTCCACTTATAGAGGTTGAATTATTTTTTAAATGGTATAGTATTACATAAATGACCTACTCATGTAAATAACCCAAATTGTATTTTACATATTAATAGAAGGAAGGTGTTAATTTACTAAACAAATAAGTTATGTTCTACATAAATGGTTAATTAGTCCACATGTATACGTGCAAATATTTCAACATGTAGCTCATACATTATCAGAATACTGCTCGTTATACATTTAATTAACTTTCTGGTAGCAATATTTATGACATTATTGTCTGGGTTCTAGATGTGTTTTGAAGGTGTGCCAATTAAGAATTCCAACAGGTCAATTCCCACTACTCACACCAAATCTTTGTACAATGTAAATTTATTTAATATAATAATTTGTTGGGTCACGTAGCTGACCATGTCGGGGTTTTGGCCTTAGACCCCATGCTTATCTGGAACACTGATAGTTGCAAAACAACATTGCTCAGTGGTGGAACACCAGACTAGCGTGCGGGAGGTTGTGGGTTCAAACCCTGGCTAGACCAACACCCAGGGTCTGTAAATAACTGATGGGAAAGTGCTGCCGTTGTAATGACATATGCAAATGGTTAGACTTTGTAGTCTTCTCGGATAAGGATGATAAACCCTAGGCCCCGTCTCACAACTGTTCACAATTAATTCTCTGAGACCTAAAAGAAACCACGCACTGATCAAAAAGGGAAGGGGACGTAGTTCCTGGTGTAGTGGTCTGCCTCTCATCTGATAGTTAAGTGCTCGCAGATATTAGCTGCATAAGCTACTCTGAAATCCAAGGCTAAATAAAGTAATGTAATGTATGTATGTTTAGCTTTCTGTACATAAAAGATTAAATTTTGTTTTTGATTAATTTTTGTATAATATTGTAAACTTTATTTGAGTATGAGTTTAATATCAGAGTCTTCCTTCAACAGGAGTTCCCTGATGCTGTAAGCAAGAAACTTTACAACATTGCCATGGAAATTCTCACCACTGAAAGAGCGTAAGAAAAGTTGATTATTCATACAACAAGTGAATGTAAAATTCTAACTTGGTTTTCAGGCTTGACGGAAAAACAAATTAAAGAATTCTGTGTCAAGGCAGAGGGAAAATAGAATTCCTTTAATTTGTATTACTCCACCAAGCTTCGGAGCCAAGTCATTATTTGAATACATCAACATTGGCCTTTTGACAGATGTTAATTGAAATCTGTAAATTTTACTTTGTTGGTTTTAATAACTGGAAATTGATTTTTATTAATTATAATTATAATAATTAATTTTTGGAATGTATAATTTTTAACTTGATCCCTTTTGACTTCTGAACAGGTATGTTAGAAGGTTACATCTCCTAGACCAGGTTAGAGAATTCCCTTATCTGATAAATAAGACTTATTCATTATTACCTCAGTTGCTCAATGTTCATCCCCAAACATTGTTTACTCAAAAATTCCTTCCAGGGTGCCATCTTTTCTTTCAACTTTCACCCAGTTTGGCAATTGGGAACAGTACAGGTTTTCATTTTGAAAGAAAGGCCTGAGGGTGAAATACGTGTAACCTATTCTAGCCTTATGCCACATGTGGCATTATTTAAAATGATTACTAAATATTTCATTTATCATTCCATACTATAAACGAGGTCGAAGGAATTATAAAATTACAATTTTAAAATAATTTATAACTTTAAGTATCATTCTATATCATGAAAGAGGTCAAATAAACTTACTACAATGGCATGGCTTTTTGAGCAAAATGTTTTTAAGTTATTGAATAGGTTTACATGTAAATGGATATTTCTTGGTCGTTTTTTTTTTAATTAATCATTATTTGTTAATAATATGTTTTCTGTCGCATACAGGTGTTTTACTTGCAAATTAATAACAAATGTTGTGCTAAAGGAATTCTGCCACTGGAGGTGCTTAATGATATCTTTTCAAATATACAAGCTATTCATCAACTCCACAGGGATTTTCTATTGCCTAAATTGGAGGCACGGATGAAAGAATGGTATTACTTAAAACTGCTTTGTTCAGTTCTTATTACACCTGCTTTCAGTGTTATGTGCATAGTCAACATCTTTTGACATGCCATGTTTTGACATGCTATGTAACCTGGCATAGGTAAAAAATGTAAACACAATGGAATTCTTTATGGTCTAACTCAAATTTTATACATGAAAGATGGATTTATTTGACATCAAACTAAGGCTAGAAGTATCAAGAAGCCATTCTGGGAGAAATCAATTGATTGTTTTGCATGTTTACATCTTTTGAGTATTAAAAGCGATAGCAGCCTAATTCTACCGGAAGTCACTATTGAGAGCTGATTGACCACACTAAAATCATTTGAATGATCCTGTAAATTGGGAAACATGCAAAGTCCACAATCTTCTTCAGCCATTTAAGAGCAGAAATTATTATTTTTCTTCCACTAATGACCAGAAAAATTGCTAGTTTCACACTTAAATGGTCTTTTAGTCTTATACATACATGTAGCCTATCGAAAGATGGTCAAAAGATGTCACCTGTGCACGTAACACAGAAAGTTGGTGTAATCTTGACATAATAAGTGAGATAACACTATGAAATTTTTGTGATGCCGCACTAAAACCAATTTTTCTGTAAATATTGTTTTAGGATAAGGTTGTACAGGTATGTACATGTATATGAAATAGATGACTACCAAATCGAACTCCTTCTTTCTAGCAGTTGTGCAAAAGTATTCTTTACTTGTCATCAATACTAATTTTAATTTCTGCTTTAATATCATGTCTCCATAAGGCTGGAAAATCTGTTTTCTTTTGGTTTTTTCATTATTCTTAATGAAACTGTTTCATGATAGGGCTACCAATAATCAAATTGGAGATATTCTCAAAGGACTGGCACCTTTTTTAAAGGTAAGTGTTTTTATTTAGTGTGAGGACTCGTTAGTAATGAAATTTATTTTACACTTCTGAGCCCTGAGTGGGATATTAATCACAAGTATTCTCCAGGGGTTTTTATCAAGTTTCCACATTAATGATATACTGTCACTGTCACTGTCAAAAGCAATATCAGTGGTAAAAACACAAAAGAGGAGGCACTGGTGGTCAGTTGTACCATATGGCAGTTTTAACATACTCAATTATTTCTTTGAGGCGAGGTGGTATCATGGTTAGTGAGCTTGTCTCCAGATCGAATGGCCCAGGTTTGAGCCCTGGCCAGGGACATTGTGTTGTGTTCTTGGGCAAGACACTTACTCTCACAGTGACTCTCTCTGCCCAGGTGCATAAATGGGTACTGGCGAACTTAATGCTGGGGTAACCCTGCAATGGACTAGCATCCCATCCAGGAGGGAACAGAAATACTTGCTTTATACTTCAGAAACCAGGATAAGCCTGATGGGCTACTTGGCTTGTATGCAGACTTCACCTTTTTTACCTACCATCTGACAAGAAGCACCCTTTTAAAATCAAGAAATAGGGAATTTAATTTTCATGCCTCCCACAGAAAAGTAAGGACTTAAATGAATCTATGAAAAAATTAGAGAAGGAAGCTTTGGTACTTCTTGTGTATTAAAAAAAATAACACAATACACTGTGCTTTTTGTAACAATGATGTCATTTTCCCTTTCTGCAGATGTATACACATTATGTGGGAAACTTTGACAAAGCAACAGAAACCTTATCACTTTGGACAAAAAAGTCACCCATTATGGCAGCTTTGATTGACGAGATTCAAGTAAGTCTCAAGATAATTATTGTTCTGGCCTGGTACCCACCCTAACAATAGAAACATTTGCTTGTAACTGTCTTCTCTCTACCTCTTTCTCTATCTTTTTTTATTTTTTTGAACAGAAAACCAAAGAGTGTGAACATCTAACACTTCAGCATCACATGTTGGAACCAGTCCAGAGAGTTCCCAGATACCAGTTACTTCTGAAAGGTTAATATCAGGGATTTGGTTGGTGAATTCTCTAGTAAAAAAATGATCTTTAGTAGCAGTGGTAGCCCAGCATAAGCCTGTGGAAGCAGCAAGTTCCTCAGTTGCTCATCTCTGCTGAAAATGGCAGTGTGAAACAACAAGCAAGAATTTGTCTGAACAAACAGAGGTCTTATTTTGAAACAAAAAACCTGTAACGGAGATCATTCCTAAACAGTCTCTTTTCCAGCTAGATTTGTGTTTAACAATCTTACAGATGATATCCATTTGTAGATAAAATCCAATTTTAGATAACCCCCTTGTATCTATCATGTCTCCCCTGCCTCCCCCCCCTACACCCTACCCCTGTCCCATCCCCCCACCACCTCAAGTACCTGTCCAGTAATTTACATGCATCATTGCCAGTATACATGGTGGCTGATTTTTTGTAATTTTTATCTATTATTATTGCAACACTTACAACACTACTGACATAGTTACTTACTTACACGTACAGTTACTAACTTGCAATAACTTACAATTACATGCTTACTTTACAGTTTTCTTGTTTTTTTAGAACAAAACAAAACAAAACAAAAACAGTTGTGCAATTACTGTTTTTTTTTATAAATTACAAATTATATGTATTTATATTATTAAATTGCTTTTTGCTATTGTAAACTTGAATAGATAATTAATTACATTTTTGAAAAATGCAAGGTCATGTTTTTTCCTTTCCTTTTACTTTCAGACTATGTTTCAAAGCTTCCAGAAGATTCTGGCGACTTGAAGAACACTTCGGGTATGTTGATTGTGGTGGACCTCTTAAATGAAAATTATATTCAATTTTAGCGTGCGTAGCAGACGTGGTCTTTCGTTTTCCAGGTGGAAGAGATTGAACAAGCGAGCTAGCGAAGTAGCACGCCTGGGGTGACCAAAAAATGGGGAGAAGTGGGGAGGGGGTGGCGAAAAAGAACTGCTCCTTATGTTTCGCACTCGCCCGCAGTTTTGTTTCCTTAGCGTGCTTTTTTAGAAACGCCTGCTACGCAGGCTAATCCACTTTCTGCAAGTATATCTCACTTTCTCACACTTTTGTTAAATCTTAAAACAAAACAAAACAAAACAAAACAAATAATAAAATCTGGGGTTCAAAGTGCTGATTTTCTTTCAGCAAATTACTCAAACGTGGCATACTTCTTTAGGTTTTGAATAAAATTGGTATCAAGCTAATTAACTTGCATCAAATCTTGTTACGATCAAAAAAACAGTTTAATTTGCACTTTATTGCCAGATTTTCCTAAACTGCTGAGAATGATTGCTTAATGAGGTCTTTCCCTTACAATGCGATTTCAGTAGACAATTGATTGTCGTAAAACCAAAACCGAAGTAACTAGAATGGCCGGTCTTGAAATACACGGCGGAACGAATCGAAAGGAACACAGCTAAGGCAACACATCTTACGGCGCCAAGTGTGGAAGGACACTCCTAAGTTGAGCACGTGGTCTTATTTAAGTGATACACCGAATGGAAACTGACCAATCACAAAGCGAAGAAGCCTCCGAGGCGGCTGTACCTTAAGCCTCACCACACAATCTTCCTAGGTGGCTTAAGACGTAGTTAACAATTCCTAATTACTTTGGGATCAATTGGGAACTGCGTTCTTATTAATAATATCAGCTCACATTGTGAATGACTGACATTGACTTGAAGTGTTCCCTGTGTTTGTCAGCCTACCAGTTGATTGTGTTTAATGTCTGTCTTTTCAGATGCTTTAGAAATCATCTCCGAATCAGCTCGACATGCTAACGACAGCATGAAAAAGACGGTAAGCCAATTTTGTTGTGGTAGGGAGAAGGTGGGGTGGGGGATAACAATTGTAGCTTGGTGCTGACTTCTAATCGTCGTGAAAGAAACAGTATAGACAAACCCCGATGAGGCACTCCCATATGAAAAGATCGGGAACGCCCCTAGGAAATTAAACCCCTAAAGGAGAGCAATCTAGGCGTGGCGCGAGCTTTATTTGACCCCTAAAAGATACCACTGCACAGGCTCGACTACCAGCCGCTGTTCAGGAAAGGAGATCCCGCTAATTGGCTGGACTCGAGGGAGCGGCAGATATCGAGCCTAAACATGGAGATAAGAGCATTTTTTATTATAATTTCTTAGAGTGCACCCTAAAATATACTTTGACCCAAATCTGTGGTTTACAACGCTAAGCGAGATGACGAGGATCCCCGACCGAGTCCCCTCTCCCGGGAGCATACAACCCAGCGAGGAACGATCGATCAATCTTTAAATCTTTATTTGATAAGTACAGGTTAACAGGTAGAGGCAGCCTGTAGGCTGATGTAGACCTACAATAGTAAATAAAGGAAATAAAATTTGTGTTCAGGTCAAACGAAATGCTGATGACGAAGTAAATGTTCTACAATGAACCATACGGAAGTACAAGGCTCATGGACGGTGTATTTTCAAATTTCAAATAATCGTGTTCGTAAAATCATGTGGTGATTCAATTTTTGTTGTTGTTGTTGTTTTTGTTTTGTTTGGTGGGGAGTGGGAGAGTTTTTGATATGTTCTAAAAGTCTGGGTTAATCTTTGCCTCAACATTACTTATAGATTCATAGAAAATAGGAGTGTTCGTGTACTTGCGTTCTGTCATTGATAGCAATAGTCAATTGAATATCTGCTGAATGTCTCTTGCTGTCTTTTCTTAATCGCAACAACAGGAACGATTCAAGATTCTTTTGGAAATCCAGGATAGGATAGGAGAGGACTATCCACTTATAACAGCCAGTCGTGTGAGTAACCTGCTTAACTGGTTTATGTCTTGTTGCTCCTGCTCGATATGTTTTGTCAAATCGTGTATTCTGTAAGAGCAACGACATTTATTGTATACCCGTGTTTTGTTTTGTTTTTTTTTGTTTTTTGTTTTTTGTTTTTGTTTTTTTCTGTTTGTTTGTTGTTGTTTTTTTGTAGGTATTTGTTATGGAGGGGGAATTTAGAAAAGTGGCAGCGAGAACAACAGACAGCCATCAAGAAAGAACACTCATGCTGGTAAGGAACAAAAAATGAAGCATATTGTTAGATGGGTAGCGGTCATGTCAAACGAGATCAGTGACGGTATTTGAGTTATTTTGGCCACGTACAAAATTACCTTTAAATTGAAGTAAACCTGAAAATAATAGGTTACTAAAATACAAAAACAGCAAAGCGACAATAATAAACCATAAAGAAACAAGGATGGTTAAGGATGGAGAAGATTGACACGGATTACAAACGACGAACGTGAAAAATTAAGGCTTAACTTTTCGAGATGCGCAAACCGTGACTTAGCTCCTTTAAAACAGAGACGATCTTTGCTTTTTTTGCGAATTGCCATACTGTAGCAATCGAGTTCACTTGCGTGGCAATGAGCCTGCGAGGTTTGTTCTTGGTCAGTGCGTCGAGTCGCTTAGCGACGGGGCTAATCGCCGTAAGGTTTTTGGCTCAAGTCAAAAATCGATATTCCTGCGTGATTACTATTCACTTTCTATAGTTAGAGAAAGTTAGTTCTAAGAATTTGGTGGTTCATCAAGACACTATCCTGCAGTTTATAATTTTCTTTATGCTCAGCACCTATCTGCTTAAAAAAGTGTTGATATTGTTAAGAGAAGTCGTATATTGATTAACGAGAAGAAATGGCTCCCTCGCTCTTAACTACCCTTGATTCAAAATCAATAAAACGACAGAAAACGGGTTTGTAGCGCGAGTAATAACGAAGCCACAGATTGCAACTCTGATGAAGGTGGACAGAAGCCAGCAAAAATTCAGAAAGGAAAATCAGATCGGATTAGAGAAACCTTAAAAATGTCACTGGAAGTAGATAGTATTGATCATGTTTGCTTTCTTTTTCGTTTATAGTTCAACGACGTTCTTCTTTGCTGTGCTAAGTTTCCAGGGACAAACAAGTACAAGGTCAAAGTCGAAATGGACTTGTTCGGTATGGAAGTTGCTGACGTGGATGAAGAACTCGAACTGGAGAATTCCTTTCGCATTGTCAGTAAACAAAGGGTCATGGATTTCACCGCACCGTCTGCCGAAGCGAAAGAGGCTTGGACAAGCAAGCTTAAGGAGACGGTGAACGAACTCACATCGAAAAGAGAGAGTTACAGACGAGGGACTAAGATTGAAGTCTTGACGGACGTGGAGCTGGGAAAGAAAGCGCCGGCCTGGGTCCGAGACGAAGCAGTGAGCATGTGCATGCTGTGTGACGTCATGTTTACCAAATTTCGGCGGCGGCATCACTGTCGCGCCTGTGGGAGGGTGGTGTGCGGCAATTGTTCAAGCTTTAAAGCAGCGCTTGAGTACAAGAATGGAAAGCTTGAGAAGGTTTGCGAAAATTGCCATAAAATTCTTGTGAAGGGTTCGAGCGAAGCCACGGTTAAGGAAACAGAGGGTAAAGGACATAGCGTATTAAAAATCGGAGATGAGTCCAAGATCTGGCACAGTGGATACTTGAATCACAAAATGAAAGGCGATAAGGGCTGGCAGAAGAGATGGTTTGTGTTGTCCAGCGACTTTGTTCTTCTGCGGTACAAGGCCAAGAAGGTAAGAAAGTAGTCTTTTTTAAGGACACATTCAGTTTTTCAGACATCTCGCTTGCGTAATTAATCCCTGCTAGCGAATTTAGACAGGTTTGATTGACTTTTGAGAAAGGCCGATGATTGACCTGAAAAGGCGATCTACGAAACATGATAATGGGATATTTTATCATTTTCATGACTCGCCACATGTGGCTGAAAGAGGTACATGTAATTTGTATTTCTCTCCCCCACCCCGTAATCTGCGAAATGAAGGTGGTGACATCACTTAATCGAACTGTTAACATTTTTAAAACTAGGATTGTTGCTATTTTGTTCTCTTTTTAAATCGCTGTAGGACACTAAAGCAGAGTTTAACTTGCCTCTTCCTGGTCACAATGTCGACAAACCATCCTTGGTAAGAAAATCTCTTTCTAGTTGGTATTATAAAGAGAATCAAGAGCGGATAATGGCGAAGTGAGTTTATTCACCACACAGACCTTGTTCCCAATGTAATTCCTCTCGAGTTATTTTTAGAACAGAAATCCCACAAGGGTCTACCAATAGCCAATCCCGACACGCGGATTTGGTTCACGTGGACAGCCTCAGCAATTTTACGCGCATTTTCATCCTCCAGCAAAACATCCACGCAACGCGCGTCCGCCGCAGTAGGGAGTTTAAGAAAACCTCACTTATACTAAGTGTCCCTAACTAGTAGAGGGTTTTTTTCCCATCGGCTAGATATAAAGACACGTTAAAAAAGTTTATGTATGTATGGAAGTAAACCACGACGGCAGCAACGGGAGCGTCGCTAAACAAAAGGTTTAATGAGCAGAACGGTGGCTGTGCACTTGCGTTATAATTCTTGGTACATTTCTTTGCCGTCCTCTGCAAAACAACAACGTGAAATGACCAACTGAAATTCTGCGATGTCTGGAGAACGTGAACCACGAAGGCTAATTTATTTAGTTTTATTTCAAATGTTTCGCCCTGTCCCAGAATTAGTTTCGTGATAGCTTTGACACTGAGAAACAAAGGGAAATGACCGCGAGATTCGTAGGTAAAGTATAAAATCATTTTTAAATTCACGTTATTTTGTCCTCGGCGTCACGTCCTGGTTTCTTAAACTCCCTAGTGTTCTCCAGAAGCGTCGGCGGCCGGCGTCTTCGCCGACTACTCGCGTTTCAAGCGCCGGCTACTTTTGGTAGACAAAACCACAGAAAATGATTCTTCCGTTTCTGGAAGACAATTTCGAGCGTAGCTTGAATTTGCGCTTAAAATCTCAAGTTCCAAAAACAGTGAGCGAACATATTATTTCTGAAGGAAACGATGAACAATAGCTATGTAGTGTAAAAGACAAATAAGAACGTGTCGTCCCTTATGTTGAGGGTAATCACTGCATGCTGATCTAAATGTCACTTGACTTCTTGCCTTCAAGTAGCGTAGAAGACTTCAGTCAAGTGACGAGTAATTGTCATGCAAGTCTCATTGGGATTAAAAGTAAAATAATAAAAAAGATATTGTAGCGACACATTCCACGGAAAATGCTTACAGTGTTGACATGAATCCATCCGAAAAAGCAAATAGTATATTATAATCTCGCTCACAGCAAACGCGAAACTGCCAGCTATCGGGTAGAAATAGCAACAGACATGCCGATAAAAAAGCGATGAGAATTTTGTCGTTCGCGTGAACAAGATGTGACGCATAACCTCGCACATGATGAAAAAACGAATTCAAACTGGTTTTGATATTTTCAAATGACGGCACCAAGCTGGTTCGTTGTTGCGACAAGAAATGGAAACGCAAATCAATTTTCAAGGGTAGTTAAGATTGCATCGTGCAGGACTAAACCTTTACGATTTACGGCTACAACTCGACGTTTTTTTAATGAACAGATTATATACACGGTATAGTTTACAGAATCTTGCCTCGCTTTTGCGTATCTTGAGTACTTGTCCTTATCTGCCCCGTCGTATTCAAACTTTGCCGTCTCCCGTGGAACGCTCACTCTCGTCCGGCCATTTCGTTTTTGAAACTTTCAGCCAAATTCTCTCAGCTTATTAGTCGTCCATGAACAACAAAGTGTGGTGTTAACATGCATGCAAATCACCAAGATAACAAAGCATTTCTACAGTCTACTTTAACATGTCCAATTCCCGGAGCGCGTATTTGTAGTGACGAAATTTCATCCAGTTAATTAAATCAGTGCGAGAAATCACGGTAGTAGGGACTTTAAGCAAAGACAACGCGGACGGCGACGGGAACGCCATAAGATCAGGGAAAAGCCAAAAGGTCCACTGCGCATGACTGGCGGGAAACAAGTTGACGTTCTGCGTTCGAGCCCGACGTGAGTGAAACTCATTTCGCGTTGTCTGAAAACGTGAGTTTTCGCTTTCGTTTCCTCTGCTGTGTCAACGCTAAATAACCCGTGTTACTAATTTCGAGGAACTTTAATGCTTGTTTTCTCTTGTTATGTGAGATATTT